TAAAAAAAACATTAAGATATAATATAATGTATTTCTATCTGGTTTTTATGTCATGTTTTTTGCCAATATTTGGTGATATTCCCAAATGAAATCTCCTTTTTTTCTCTGCAAATTCTACGACAATAATTCACAAATGAAAATTCCGAAATATATAATTGAAATTGATAATAAATTTTTAACTGGTATACTGGGTTTATAAAATACAGACACAAACATGCACCCAAGTAAAACCACCAATTTTCTGTAAAGTAGGTGGAGATTATTTTACAAAGATGCTAGCGCGACTAGAAATTACAGTGGTTTTAGGCAAGTGGTTTGAAGTCAATCCAAAATACTGAATATACACAACAGTAAGATTTTCATACTCTAGTCAGGAGGAACATTGGTATGAGAATAGTATGACTAGTATGTATAATCTGAAAGTAACTTGTAGATATTGGTATAATCAGGAAAGATTCCTTATTATTTAGACACACAGGAAGCAATCATTTGACCCAACTTCAAGTCACTATGAGTCTATGATCATTATAAATTATGAATAGTAAATAATTATAAGCCACTAACTTGAAACACGTATATCAATACTGATTTAACAAATTGTTGAGCTGGAATTTATTACAATCCTAATACAGATACATTCACTAAATACTTTATAAATAGAATAAATAATCTTACTGTGATGGACAAGTTCAAGAACTGGTTTGTCATAACATGGTGCAAACTGTTCCTTCAATGTTTTAAGTACAGCCTTCTCTGAATTCCAAGCTTCCTCGTGAGTGAGATTTACATGTCCAGTGCTTTGGCATGTCCAGATTCTTTTTTCATATACATGCAAACGCTTCTCATATTCCCTAGTTTCTTGTTAAGGTATGCAATTTATAATAATAATAAAAGTAGAAATAATGACATTCATTCAAGCTGGTCAAGAAAAACAGGGCACAAGCCTGACACCAAAGGCATGTAAAATCCAATTCGGACCTTCAAAATTCACAGCATGACACCAAAGGCATGTAAAATCCAATTCGGACCTTCAAAATTCAAAGATTGTAAGTGGGTTAGCCCCCCAAGGGTTTTTAATTTCAGAATGACTATGTTTTCGTACTGTACTAGTTTCAGTTTCAATTCTTGAGAACTTGTTGTGATCAATACATATATATATCTGGTAAGATTTGTGCAATAAGTCCTGCAATCATAATTAATGCATAATATATATTAATCAACTTGAGTTCAGTGATTGGTTAGCATGAATATACTAACAAAACACAAGTCAAAATGTAAATGTTCATTTGGTAGTAAACAGTAAACTTAAATATTCGCTAGAGGGTTAGGGTTACCCGTACAATTCTATTACTCTACAATACTTTCTTTTAATCAACATATATACTTCCAATCTGACACAAACTAGTCATACCTAACATTGACTCTATAATTCAGCATTTGGTACGGAGGCCATGAAGACGCTCCATTGTTACAGCAACAGGACATAGGGATGAGGAAGTGAGTTGGAAGGAAGAATCCCAAGAACTTAATGAAACTTTTCTTACTTCAATGTTTTGATGCTACAGTTAGAAAACACTCCACATATATACAATTTCACAAAATCTGTATTTTAATACAGAAGAACATTGATTCAGATTAAGAAGATCTGATGATGATGATGATGATGATGACATGGACATGTCTGAAAGACTTTGCCTTTAACTTAAATGAATATTGTCTAGGTGTCTTCTACATAGACTATGATAGTAACTACTAAATGAAGTTAATCCATGATCTTTCCTGATTTACAAAACAAGCTAAAGTAAGACTAGCACCTGGGGCAACTGCACCAACATTATTATCTATCAGTAGCAAAATGAGCAGGGCTTCCATAAGTTCCAAAATTTTGAAGTCTTCAGCTGCATAAATTTAAATATCTGACAGTGGAAGCAACATTATAATATAGGCGATAAGGAAAAGCAATACATTTTGTAAGCCAAAATCAAGGAATGACACCAAGACATCAACTAACAGAAGCCCCGAATGAATGCACTTTTGATAAATTACTAAATCATGTAAATATTGCAAACAGGACTTTTCGGCCCCAAACCAAATCGGCCCCAATCGAAAAATCGGCCCCTGGACGTTTCGGCCCTTTTCCGCGAGACGTTTCAGCCCCACTTTAGTATATTGCTTGATTGATTAACAACAATTAGTTTAATTACGATTAAACAATTATGACACTTTAATTCTTTAAATAATTATTTATTATCTTTTGAATCATTTAGATATACGTTAATGTTTTAAAGGTGTAGGGCAGGTTACTTAATTTATAAAACAATATTTTAACCGTCCTGTGTTGTTTTTTTTTCACTTTTATTGTTAAAATGTTATTTATAAAAATGTCTCTTCACGCAAGTTTTCAAGTAAAGTTGTTTAATTGTAAAATTGTAAAAATGTTGTATAAAAAGTGTCTGTTCACATTTGTTTTGTTTCAAGTAAAATTGTTTAACTGTTCTGTACTTGTATTTTCGTTTCCATCAAACTCGTCACTGTTTAATAGTTGTTGATGATAATTTGATTTCTGTCTCATGTATTGTTTTGTGTCTTGCTTCTTAATCTCTCAAATAAAATATTATCTATATATGTTGTAAATAATTTTTTGTTTGTGTATTATATTTTTTCAAATAATGTTTATGCTCGGTTCTGTTTGTATTAATAAAATATTATCTATATTTGTTGTAAATAATTGTTTGTTTGTGTATTTTTTTCAAATAAAGTTTATGTTCTGTTCTGTTTGTATTGATTACTTTTCCCCTACTACTATTATAATCTAGTTTTTATACAAAATGATTAAATATATATATTAATTGATTCATTTATTTATTGAAATGCTATTGATATATCGGTTTAAAATACAGTATTTATTCTGGGGCCGATTTGGTAAAGGGCCGAAACGTGGGGTAGTTTGGGGCCGATACGTCTTGGGGCCGAAATGTCTCGAAATCTAAATATTATCAAAAACATGTAATTATCAATAACCAACAATATTTTAAAACATAAACACACTTCTTTTATTTATTTGCTTATTGTTTTGGTAATTTGCAAATCCTGATTAATTAAATGTAATATCTGCTGTGGTTTTTAGAAAATAAAGAGTAGTGACCTTTGACCTTTCATATTCCATTGCACAACACACCCTACCCCACTCAATAATTCGCCTAATTCAGCATAATGACCAATGTACTTTACACAGAATTGATATTACATCAATACTCAATATGAAAACATCAAAGATTTCTATCGAAATTCAAGGAAATCGTCAAAATAAACAGGTAACCCCAGTCAAGCAAGCTGGCAACCAAGAAAAACATGGCTGCCATTTCAGATTCTTTGTCCTATTGTCCGAAGAAATATACATTTTCTCAAGCATTTATCTAGATAAAATATGCTATTTGCATGGAAAATTGTCACCGAATGACTAAATTAACGTATGAAATACTTGACGAACTACATTATACGGTGAAAATGATGTTTTTAGCAATTTTTCTGACGACTTCTCGCAGAAAAGTTGAATGGAAAGTTGCTCCAATTAACCCTATTATTGGTTTTCACCGATGATAACGTATGTCTTATGATAACTGAATGAAGATTCACCATGAAAACAGTTAATTTTTCTTGAAATGGTCGTTTTATCGTCTGCAAATTGCATTTCCATGGGCGCCGCCATCTTGGATTATTGGTTGAATATGAATTTTGCAAGGATACAGTTGAGAACGAAATTGTTCCTTTGTATGTGGAATGGTATATATTTCTTCTTCTGGTTTAACATCCGACAAGGGTTTAACACAATTGAAAATCCGTTTAGAAAGGAGCGGCATCGTGTAATAAATCCACGAAACGTCGCCGAAAACTGTTGTTCAAAATCTGGCGCGCATAAGCAAAAATGGCGCTGCTCATCGGCATATTTGTATCACGTGATATTTTGGTTTTGTTCTTTTTAGTTGAATTTAGTTTATTGTTTTTATTTAGAAAATGAACCCCGCATCCCTTTAATTTGGCTATTCTGTTTAATAATTTGTATTTTAATCGTCTAGAAAAAGGTATTTCACCCTACGAGACTGACCTAATTTTGCGGGAAATTTGAGAAATGCTAGAGTTACTTCCCTTATTGATGGACAGCACCTGGCAGGCTGGTGTAAAATTTATGTTGACAGTGGACAATGAGGTGTGAAATTAACATTTTTCACTATGTCAGTCGCAAATGTTTAATCTTAATTATATCATTTATGTTTAAATTTCAGTTAATTATAAAATTAACATGATTTATGTTAATTTTCTGGAAGAAACGATGTCTTTTCCCTTTCTACCCTGTTAACATGATGCTGACACACTGGCACACTACTGGTTAGTTATCATTAAAATGTGCTTGATGTGAATAGGTTAATTGTAAAGGTTTTGACAAGATTTTTTTGGTCAAGATTGTTTCAGTTGTTGGTGGCTATTTGCAGAGAAGTTGTGATTTTCAAGGAGCATAAAATTTTACAAATGCAAACTTTCTTCTCATCTGTAGGCTATCTGGATAAGACCACTATCTACTTTTCAGGAATAAAACTTGTATAAAATAATCTAAAGAAAATGGAATGAACCTAAGATATATTCCTGGTCTATCTACATGTATCTTTCGTAAATGTCAAACCCCTCGCGGGGATGTAGACAGGTGATGTCAGCTGTAAATTGTTGTTCAATTCAGTAGATTTTGAATTCGCGAGTAGATGTTCTATTCAAGGATTTAGCCAACATTTGCGTAACCTGTAAAATTTACATATCAGTGTTTTCTGAATGTGTCAGTGTCCCTTTGTCGTTTGAAACAGTATCTATCTTTATTCCATTAATGTGACTGTCAAACCCCTCGCGGGGACGTAGACATGACTCTAGACTAGTCACTTCAGAGAAAGTTAACAGTAATTTAGTTCTGTTTTATATTGTTAAAATTTAGCAATTTTGTTGGGTAAAAAGTTTAAATAATGCATTGTAAGTGCCAAGATTTATGATAAACACCTTATTAAACAGTATCTAATAGTTGAATCTCTCTTTTTCTGATAGTTTAAGTCATTGACAATTTTGTCTAATGTAGCAACAATTTGGCAATCATGAATTTTCAATTAATAGTTGTGAAAAATAGATACTTTTTGGCTTTGTGTCAGACGCAAAACTGTGTGAATAATTAACCACTGCATTTACATCTTGTTTTAGAGTTTAAAATAAAGGTGATACCTCTTGTGCCTTTGTTGATTACATTCCAGTTGTGGTCTAAACTGGTTTTTCAGGTATCAACTTTTTGTGCTGAAACAACCTTTTCTAGCAAGTCATTCCAGAAATTCACAACTCTGATTGAGAAATAATTTTTGCGACGGACGCGCCCTCAGGCGCGTTCAGAGCTAAGTCATCTACATGGGAATTCGTTGGCTACAATCGCGCAGTGTGTCCTAAACCGATTAACAGCCCAAGAAATAGTACATGAATTTGATCCTTCAAAACTCCCATACTTTGTCTGGATATCTTAAAATCTTCCATATTTAGCCTTTTCAATTTCAAATTAAGTTATCCAAGTTAAAATATGAACGTATATTATTGATAAAAACGTTGTAGTCCCGTAGTATTATTGCGCAATATGCAAATTACTGCCGAAACGATTTACCGCTGTCGAAAAAGTAGGACAGCAAATTATACTACAATAAAGGTGTAACCTCTGAGTTCCAAGACATTATTAGTAGGAAATAAATATTTCTTCATTATACAAAACATTATTATTAACAAATCGAAAGTTAATCAAAAGTTTTTCGTGACTCTAGGATAACTCGCGCATTAATAAAAGAAGAACTATTTTCATGACTCATACCGCGGGTTTAGCTGAATATTCAGCAGTTATTAATATCTTAATTAGATACAGTACAATTGTTAGTATAAATATCTATTTTTGAAAATGCATGTAAGAAGAGAGTTTTCAACACTTGACCGCCATGTAGTCTTTTATGGTAAGGAAGTTATAATATCAGTTCTACTTCCGATTCTTGTGGTTTGTTTACATATTTTTCTAGGTCATGATATGAGTTAACCTTCGCTATTCTAAAAATAGATTCTGCTTCACCTTTTGGAGTACACATTATACATGTAATAAACCAATACTTTTAGAAATTCTATACAATTGTAAGAAGCAAACAAGTTGAAAATGGAATTTAGTGTGAAATTGAAAAGGACAACTAAACACTGTAGTGCTTAAGTGACATTTAAATTAAAATAAAAACGATGTGCTCTGGCCTCTACATCTTTACCTTGTAAATAAAAAAAATCTAAAAAATACACTATTAATTGCTGATGATTTTAACCAAATTTTTTTTTTAATGAGACATATAAAAATACAAATGACTTATATTTTATTGTCTATATGCCCACTATGATATAACACGAAGCAATTCTAAATAGCATTCTCAAATGTATAATGTATTAATTTATGTTTGAAGTTTATTTGCCTGGTTTTATTTTAGAAATATTTCGTTGACAGTTTTTTTTCTATTTACATATCATTTCTTGGAATAAATCGATAAGGACACTGATTTACAAGTTTGACCAGAGTTTTTAGGCATAAATTTCATTCTGTATTTAAGTGCTTGAAAGTAGAAAATCTGAATTATATCAGTTTGGGACACAAAATATATTGCTCTACAAATCTCGAACTTGTATGGAACGAATTTTCTCTGTTATATATTTTGTGTTTTGTTTTTGTTTTGTTTTTTCTAAAAGAAGCCTTAATGTCTCTCCGGTTGCATGTCCGTCGCATTCAGTGCTGCAGCACTTTGATTTAGCAATGAACTTAACAGTTCTAGTTGCCTTCACTTTAACAAGGAAATAATAGCTGCTGTACATTATACCAGAGCAGAGATGGAGTGTAGATGATCAAAAGAAAGGTTTTCATGATCAATCACAAGGAAAGTGACCTGCACACTCCAGGAATCGAACCCTAGTGGCCTGATTCAGAGGCCAATGCTGTACGAATAAACCTTACAGGACAGTAATGACTCATTTTCACTCTAATCACCTTTTATCCTGTCACTTGTATCAATTTCGGCCCGATAACAAGGTGCCGTATATTTTTATTGATCTACGGCACTTGATCACGTGGTTTGCCGGACTTCTTTACAGGCCGTTCCAGTGGTATGAAAAAAACTGTCGTTAAATCTTCTGTGTGTAGAATAACGAATTTTGGAAACGTTGATTAAACTTTGTTTGTTTATTTTATTTCAATATATAATTTTTCAAGCGAAATAAAAATTATAAAAAGTGAAATAAATGTATAACTTAACTCGTTTGCGACATTAAAATAGCGTACTTGATTTGATTGTTTTGCTCGTGCTGTTTGGCGCTACATTGTGACGTCACGTAAACAATACTTTAAACGTCTGTACAGCGTTAACGACTGAATAAAAGATATTGGTGTTCGAATTCATTTTCTTAGTTAGACTATTTTCTTTCATTCTAGATAGTTTTTACAACAAAATTCGACAAAAAATGTTTTTATTTATCACATTTTTCAAACAAAATGGCGCCTTCAATGTGAAAATACACAGGGAGATAATAAGAACGGCGAGTGTATTGTTGTAGAATAATGCACGTTTCGGGCCTTCTTTGTTTATATAAAAACATTTTCGATAGTGTGATTTAAGGTAGTTTGCCTAATAAAATTCTTTAAAAAAAAACGGTGACAGGATAAATAGAATAATAGGTTGGTGCCGTGGATGGAAAAGTTTATTTGGCTCTGCTCCGGAATTTATTGTGTTCGCCTTCGGCTCACCCAATAAATTCCTCCGCCTCGCCAGATAAACTTTCTCCATCCACGGCACCAACCTATTATTCTCTATATCTATACCTTCTGATCACTCAAGCATGACTTTTTTTCATTGCCTTATTCAAAATGATAATTATTTCTGAGACATCTCGTTAAAATACAACTTCCAAACATTATATTTTACTCTTGGTTAAGTTTTGCGTGCCAGATGGTATCTCCAAAACTACAGATGTGAATGGGCTGAAACTTAACTCACTAATTTGAGAGCACAATAGAAGGTCTCTGTGTAAGACCCATAACAAACATGGTCTTTGACAGAATTATGGCCCTTTTTGAAGTTAAAAATTATTCATTATCCAGACTCTTGTTTAACTTTTACTATCCAGCACCAAGGATTGTCTGGCACTTATGACAGCTTTTGTTGATTGATAAGATACATGTATACAATATTATTTTCCAGAAAAATAGAAATGATATGACACATGTGACAAGTAGGGATGTTCATCACTAGATATTCCAGGGCTGTTCACTAAACCTGATAAAAAATGGGTGTGACACAGTTATGGCAGATACTTGCCCCAGTGGAGCAGCACAGGGCACTGTCCTCACTGTCTGGCCAAACACTTGCTGTAGACCTGTCAATTTGGGTCTGTGAAAATCAGTGTGTTAAACAGATGCAAGGAGTAGTATCAAAACCTTATTTAAGGTAAGAAGAAAAGCATTTTTACTCTTTTTATTTTAATTTTTATATATACACTGTACTAAGTTGTTACCTGAATTAGAGGAGTGTTATGGTAACGTAATATTAAATTGATGCAGTTGGTAGTTAATTCAGACTTTAGAGGAGTAGGCTAGTTGTGCTGAACAATCTATAAATTTGCATGTTAAATACATACTTGTAATACTAAATGCATGTTGATACATAATAATTGAGTAAAAAAATAATCTGTACTAAATATATAAGAAAAAACAATGTAAGTGTTAGGTATTCTTGGTGTACCTGTCATTTGTGTCTTGAATATCATCAGAAAATTTCTTTATTTCTTTCCTGATAAAAGTACAGTAGTACTGAAACTGGTAGAATCTTTAATAGAACTAGTTAAACTGACCTATGACATGACATGACATAACATGTCATCCTTACATCCTCCCTACTCTACAGCAAAAAATTCTTGTGTGTAATATTTAAGACAACTTAGCTAAGCATGTTTCTTGGGTTGTTTTTTTAATGCTTTCCTTCTAGGCAAATTATTCGATCTTGCTTTTAATAAGAAAATATTATCTTCTTTTTTTTTCAGGAATTTATTTTTCCGCATTTCTCATCTCACACAGCTTGGTGTAAAGCTTGTGTTTGTTATAGAGGGCGCAGCACCGGAATTAAAATGGGATACAATGATAAAGAGACAACAGTCGAGGTTTCCAGGCCGACAAGGGAAACAAGCGCCACAAAGACCTGCCGGAAAACAGACTAGAAGGAATTTTAACTCCTGGTTGAAAGAGGTAAATGTTATGTTTAAAAATAGAAACAGATATTTATGTGATTCTGAGAGACTAATGGAATCATGAGCAACCAATATGTGCGCCAATTAGATAATTATTAGGACTTGTGATCAAAACTTCTGGGAGACACAAGGGCCTGTAGAATAAAATTTACAGCAACATTTGGACACAAATTGTCAATTTTTAAATCTGTCTGCCATGTTTACTGAAATCATGGAGATGGCTCCCCCTGCAGGCCCTTCTGTTGATATGCAATGTATAATATCTCTACAATTATATGATGCATGGTGTCTATACATGCATACTACAACTGTGTATTGAGCCAAAGGAGCTCAAGTACATGTAGCAGAAAGACGAAATATCACTATTAATAACTAAGGTTAAAAAGTTGAAATTTGCCTTCATTGGGTTCCTCCCAATTGCTCTAAAGTCTTCACTGATACTGTTTAGTGTTGAATTGTAGGCCACAGTTAAAGATCAGAAACTTTTAAGTAAATTTACTTTGAATACTTTGAATAATTTTGCTTTCTGAACATTGAAATTTTTTGCTTTTGCTGTTTTTGTTATGAAGCTTTTGCAATAGTTGAGCATGCTGTCTATTTCACATTTCTTGTGTTTTTATTGCAGTGCTGCGAGTTACTAGAAATTTTAGGGATACCATACATTCAGAGTAAAGGGGAGGCTGAAGCCTTGTGTGCTCTGTTGAATGCTAATGGGGTAAGTATAAAATATAAATGCAAAATATATGTTTGACCGGAAGTCAGTGTATGGTATAAGTCATGCCCATGTGGTCAAAATTGGCCCCACTTCAGGGTTACATTGACCTGTAAAAATACCAGTTATGTTTGCAGAAAGACAAGTAGCAGTCCTGATCAATGTATAAGGGTTTTAGGAATATTACAGTAGAACTTTGTGTTGAACTTCATTTATATTTTCACGATGTTTCGAAGTCAAATTAAATTCTGATTATTTTTTCGCATTATGTTCTTTATAAAAAAAATCGGATTTTTATGTGTCGATTTTTTAGCTCACCTGAGCATGCTCAGGGTGAGCTTTTAGGATCGATGATTGTCCGTCGGCCGTTCACATTTAGTTGTTAACACTCTAGCGGTCGCATTTTTGCCTCAATCATCATCAAACTTGGTCAGGATGCTTATCTAGTTGATAGCTCGAATGAGTTCGAACATGGGTCATCTCGGATGAGAAACTAGGTCACAAGAGCTAAAAATAGAAAAACCTTGTTAACACTCTAGAGGTCACATTTTTGCCTCAATCATCATCAAACTTGGTCAGGATGTTTGTCTAGGTGATAGCTCGGATGAGTTCGAACATGGGTCATCTCGGATGAAAAACTAGGTTGCAAGAGCTAAAAATAGGAAAACCTTGTTAACACTCTAGCGGTCACAATTTTGCCTCAATCATCATCAAACTTGGTCAGGATGTTTGTCTAGGTGATAGCTCGGATGAGTTTGAACATGGGTCATCTCGGATGAAAAACTAGGTCACCGGAGCTAAAAATAGAAAAACCTTGTTAACACTCTAGCGGTCACATTTTTGCATCAATCATCATCAAACTTGATCAAGATGCTTGTCTAGGTGATAGCTCGGATGAGTTCGAACATGGGTCATCTCGGATGAAAAACTAGGTCACCAGAGCTAAAAATAGAAAAACCTTGTTAACACTCTAGTGGTCACAATTTTGACTCAATTGTCATCAAACTTGGTCAGGAAACTTGTCTAGGTCATTGCTGGGAATAAATCAAACATGGGTCATCTCGGATGAAAAACTAGGTCACAGGAGCTAAAAATAGAAAAATCTTGTTAACACTCTAGTGGCTACTGTTGTGATCCAAATATTCTGTTTATTGGTCTGAAAGTTTGTTTTTATGATTTCTAAGTCAAGATCGAACATTGGTCATCTTGGATGAAAAACTAGGTCACACCGCCCAAATATGGAAAAACCTTGTTAACATTCTAGTGGTCACATTTTCGACTCAATTATCATCAATTTTGGTCAGGATGCTTGTCTAGGTAATTGCTTGGATTAGTTCGAAATCACATGTGAAACTAGGTCACCGGAGCTAAAAATAGAAAAATCTTGTTAACACTCTAGTTGCTACTGTTTTGATCCAAATATTCTGGAAATTGGTCTGAAAGTTTGTTTTGATGATTTCTAGGTCAAGTTTGAATATGTGTCACCTGGGTAAAAAACTAGGCCGCACTGCTCAAATATGGAAATCCTTGTTAACACTGTAGTGGTCACATTTTTGACTCACCTGTCATGAGACTTGGTCAGAATGCTTGTCTAGGTAATTGTTTGGATGAGTTTGATAAGTCAGGTGAGCGATCTAGGGCCATCATGGCCCTCTTGTTTGATGTGTAGAACATACATGTGAACTTTTTTCGATGATCAAGTGGAAGATTTTTCCTCAAAACAGGGAGATTTTAGAATTTGCAATAAACAAAGAAGGAAAATCTGACATCAAAAATAGGAAAATTTCTTTGATTTTGTGAAAATACCCTTTATTTTAAGAAAAATCTATGAAAATATGGCTGCAGAAAGTGGGGGTCTCCCGCTAAAAGAGGGAGAGTTCACATGTATGGTAGAAGATCCGTGAGGAGTAATTCAAGTACATTTTACCAAAATTAAGTCGAAGTCCTTTGATTAATTTGACATGTTCAAATTTGGGATATTTTTGATGATTTTCAATAAGCTTGTATGACAGGTGTTTATTACACTGCTATTTGTGATTGAAATTTGATACAGAATTGAGCTATATAATTGTAAGAATCTATTGTTAAAATTTTGCAGTTGGTAGATGGTTGTCTTACCAATGATGGAGATGCATTTTTGTATGGTGCCACCACTGTATATAGAAACTTCACCATGAACTCTAAGGTAAGTCTTTCATAGTTAGGATTCCAAAATTTTGGACCATTGTTAATCCTGTTTGTACATTAGTTTATATGGGGAAACTATCTGGCTAGCTAAAGGAATGTTGTTATCCAGATAGTTGACAAAGGGTTGGTTATCCAGCTCACTAATCGAAGGTTAGTTATCCAGCTAGCTAACAGAAATAATTATACTACTAACTTACAGAATATCAGGTATGGTTGGTTATCCAACTAGCTAACAGATTTTTGGTTATCCAGCTAGCTTGCATGAGGTTGGTTATCCAGCTAGCGAACAAAAGGTAGCTAGCATACAGAACATTAGTTATCCAGCTAGCTAACAGAATATCTATTATCCAGCTTGCTAACAGAACATGAGTTATCCAGCTACCTAACAGGATATCAGTTAACCAGTTAGCTGACAGAAGATTGGTTATTCTGCTAGAGAATGAAAATTTGGTTATCTAGTTAGCTTCTTCTTTGATGCCTACACTTTAAATACCTGAAATAATACATGGATTGGCACCTCCACTGGTAAAGCTACAAAAGTTGCAATTTGACCTTTATATGACCTGTATCTTTCAATACCAAACAAACAATTACATGTATAAAAAAGCAATTACCAGTATTAAAGAGGTCAGCTTTAATTTTTGTAACCTACAAGCCGGTATGAAAATAACTTTGCAATTTTTAGGAAATAAATTATTTTTTCAGGACCCACATGTAGAGATGTACAGACTCAGTGACATTCAGTCAAAGCTTGGTATAGATAGAGGCGGCCTTGTGGCTCTAGGTCTTCTGATTGGCTGTGATTTTGTACCAAAGGGCGTGCCAGGTATTGGTATAGCTAACGCTGTCAGGTTGCTGCAGTCTCTACAAGGTCAGGATATTCTTATCAGGTAAGGCACGGTTTTCTTTAAGTCTCAGCTTGTTTTATTGTACTAAACTTTTGAATGTTTGTAATATTTTTCCGCATTTTTTGTGTCGCCTCTACGGAGTAGTGGCGACATATAGGGATCAATTCTCCGTCGTCTGTCTGTCCGTCTGTCCGTTGTCTAGTTGTGCATATTGCATATTGTCAGCATTTTCCGGTTCAATGATTTTTGACAGAGTTATGGCCCTTTAATAATTTTTATTTTTAAAGTTTGTCCGGACTACATCTCTTATACCACTAATGCAATTTCAATGAAACTTTACAGGATTGATCTGTAGCTCAAGTCCTTGCGCATATTGCACGGGTTTTCCGGTTGAATGATTTTTGGCCGAGTTATGGCCCTTTGATAAAAAGGTGTTTTTTTTCTGTGTGTTGCCAGATACACAAAACTTGTCCGGACTACTCCTCATAAACTACTGGTGCAATTTCATCCAAACTTTACAGGAATGATCAGTACCAAGTTTAGTTGTGCATATTGTCAGTATTTTCCGGTTCAATGATTTTTGTCAGAGTTATGGCCCTTTAATAATTTTTATTTTTAAAGTTTGTCCGGACTACTTCTCTTATACCACTAATGCAATTTCAATGAAACTTTACAGGATTGATCTGTAGCTGAAGTCCTGGCGCATATTGCACGGGTTTTCCGGTTGAATGATTTTTGGCCGAGTTATGGCCCTTTGATAAAAAGGTGTTTTTTTCTGATAAAAAGGTGTTTTTTTCTGTGTGTTGCCAGATACACAAAAGCTTGTCCGGACTACTCCTCATAAACTACTGGTGCAATTTTATCCAAACTTTACAGGAATGATCAGTACCAAGTCTAGTTGTGCACTGTCCGTCTGTCTGTCAGTCTGTCACAAAACTTGTCCCAACATAAAATTGGCCATCATGAGGCGACACATGTGATTACTGATCGCTCTTGTTTTACCAATTTTAATACATTTTTTGAGTCATTTCTCGGTGGTCAATCCACCTTATCAGCTTTCCTGGATAAGTAACCAGTAATTACCGTTTTCTCTGCAAGTGACCCGACTACTTATCCATCATAATTTCTGAATCAGCTGTGAGAGACATAAAACAATAAGATTTAATGTCCAAGATGAATTGTCATAGAGAAATTTCCCCTTTCCTGAAGATGGTACCTGTGACCCCTGGATTACTAATCTCAAGGGGGGGATTTTCATGAAAAAAGTGAGAATTTAGTACATTTGTTGATCTTTTTCCTTCTTTCTCTATGTAGAATTTTCCCCCTGCCTCTGAAAAATTGGGTGGGGGGGGGGGATTTGTAGAAATATGAGTGAAGCCTCCCCCTAGACACTGTAATCTGATATGCTTTCCTTATTGAGCTTAATGGACAGATTAGATTTTTGAATCCTTTGTAATATTGTAGCTTCTTGTAGCAATAATAATCTATTATTAATGATTATATTTTATGTCATGCAAGTGGGGCTCAATGGCTCAGTGGTTAAGGTCGTTGACTTCAAAACACTTACCCCTCATCGCTGTGGGTCCAAACCCGACATGGAGTTTGGATTCTTTCATGTGACGAAGCAATCCAGTTTTGATATTTTATTGACATCAATATATAATCTATTGTAGGTTACAGTCTTGGAGTACCATGTCAGAGAAAGAATGTGTTGATCAGACAGAAATTCTAGCTCGCAGAAAGGCTATCCAAGTACCCGATTTTCCACAGATAAAGGTATTCCTTTCATATTTATAGAGGTGCAATGATTCATTCTGATGCATTGAAAACCAGTTTTGTGGTCACCAATTTGATTTCCAATCTCGACTATAATAATTTCGATTTCATTCACACAAAAAGAAACACAGGTAAATGTAAGTTAAAGTCCCTCACTAGCTAGTTTAGCATTTTATTATGTTATATATATATATGATTGATTAATTTAACTAGGTGATCCAATCTTTGAGCAAGTAGTGTTGTATTTACAGTAAGCAAATCAGAATGGCTTCAAATGTCAAAGTACAAAAAATAAAATTTAAAAAAAGTCCTCCAACAAAACTTAAAAAAAGGTTTAGGAACGTTTCGGGTTTTCCAAGGGTAAGGAATCTAACAAAGTGACATGTAAGATAGGTTTTTGGGGCTTGTCATGTCCGAGTTGGTAACTTGATGCAACACATGAAAAGAAAGCACTGATTTTGTTGTGTTTAAAAAGTCTAGTTTAAGTTTGGAAAAAAAGTCAGATATGTAAGTGGGCTGGTCATATTACTGTGATAGTTTTTTTGATTAAAATTGTTTTGCAAATAGACCACTTCATATATTCATAAACATTACTAGTAAAAACAAGTCTTATAAGTTGAGATAATAGTTATACAACTAAAGAAAATTAAAAATGCAAACAACTATGTTAAAGGCCACTCACTTTAAGAGCAAATAAGCAGAATTGTCAACTAAACACAAAATAG